TCTCGAACATAATTATTTCTAATAGGAAGATATCTGTGCATATGAAGGGAAAAAAAAATGCATAGGACACTTAGAAGAAGAAGAAAAGAGATGCAAATAGCATTCCAATTTCTTCCAGCGTATGGATATCCATGCTTGACACTTATGCTTGTTCTGTTTAGATTTCTGTCATATTCCTTGTAATTGGATTTACTTTAGATCATTTTCATATCATCATACGTAAGCACTTTTTCTCTTATTACTCTAATCTTAGTAAAAGCACAAAGTAAATGCTTTTTCTTTTCTTCTTTTTTTTTTCCTTTTCTTTTGAAGAAAAAGTCAAAACGATATTAAATAAAAACAAAATAAATGTCTCGACTTGAAGTATGCTTGTCTTTTGGATATATGAACATGGTTGCAAATAAAATAGTAAGATAACGTAGTTATAGATTAATAACTATTGCTTAGTCATATTTCATTTCAATATACTTAATATGTACACACAACCTTTGGTTTGTGAATATCTGTGTATTATGCCATACTGATGGCAAATGAGAAAATAACTGCTATAGGGAAATTGAATATGTACTTTATGTTACTTTTATGATGATATATTTTCACTATCCTGCCAGATTTGTTTTATTATAAAATTCATGTAAACTATGCTAACTAATTTTTGATCCCTCTTTTGATTCTGCATATCACATCTGAAAAGAAAAATTAGATCTAGATTTTCAGCATCCAAAATGAATATTCTTTTCTTCTAAATTAATGGGGCAGGTACTAATAGCCTGATATTACAAGCAAGATCAAACCTATGACCTTTCACTTGTAGAAAAGTATCTATGCCACCTACAAGGCCTTTGGCCCAAAATGAATATTCTAGTACAAGAGCCATTAGACTAAAGGTTACAATTTCAGTTGTTCAAGGAGCCAATATTGAGTCAGTTAAATGTTCTAAGCACTCCTGTCATAGTCTGTCTAGGTGCACTGCCGAACTTTTAGTCAATAGACAGTATTTTCTCTGTTACAATGTGCATCGTAGTTGAGCCTTTTTTTTTTTGGTTGCATACCTTAGCAATCTTTATTTCATATGTTAAAATCCTGACTTTCAGAATTACAGCTCCATCAATTAGTGACATTTTCATTACTGCGGGACCCCTGGACCTTGTACCCTTACTGCAGCATTCTTAACCTAGAAAATGAATGATTTTGTTAGCATCTCAGCTCACCATATAATGCCAAATTGATGATAAGAGGATGCCTTGCTTCTTTCTCCCAGTTAGTGCACATGGTTATGACAAGAAGACATACCGCTTGCACAACAAGTGTTACTGCCATACCTATCCAGAGACCCTATTTGTAGAACAAACCAATATTATTCAAAACAAGTAGCTTCAATTGAAAGTGTTTTACACCAGGAGATGGATGGAACCTTACTTTTACTTTCATGTGGAGGGCAATAGAAAAGACTACAGCAAACGGAACACCCACAAGATAATATGTATAAAGATTCACAAGTGCACCAACTTTCTGCCAACCACACCCTCTTGCAACACCTTATTTACAAAAATATTGCCAATTACTTGTCAATGGTGAAGTTCACATGCACAGAGAAACATAGGCCACAGACATATGACTAATACAAATGCAGTATGTAATCGTACCATGTGATCTTTGGCTCTTATTCCTTCTCCATTTGAGGATTAAAAATAAGTGATATGCACATTTTACACTCAGTTTAATGAGCAGATGTCAGTACCTGAGAGTACAGTTTGAATTGAATCCATGAAGGTTGCACCTGGCCACAATTGGCAGAACGGATGCAACATGTCTCACTACTTCATGTACATTGGTAAATATTCCACCCCAAATATTTCTTCATAGCATCAGCAAAGAAAACTCAAAAGCTCCCACTATGACAGCCATGAATAAGGTGACTTTAAGTGCTAATTGTGCAGCTTTTGGAGAGCCAGCCCCTAGTTCGTTTGATATTCTTATACTGTTAGAGTTGAGATGCATAATAAAACTTGTCAAAGTCCAAACTAGGATCAAATTAATCCTTGTCATACTAAAAGCTATATAAACTTCCACTGGGGTTGTTTTGCATAATAAAAAAAAGGCATAAATTTTTAGCAAGAAACCACTGACCTTGCAGCAACCCCATTCCAAAGGGCAACATCCAAAACATACCAGATGTATTAAAACTGCAGAAGGAGTTCAAAATCCATAAGGAATATGTGTGTTGTCTGTGCAGATGCCATAAAGAATTTAGTACTAACTAGAGCATGGCTTCTCACAGAAAAACTTACCATATAGAAGAAACCAAAGTTTGCAGTTTTGGATTAGGAAAAGTACCAGGCAGGATCACCATCAATTCAAACATCCATGATTCTAATCTGTTACACCAAAAACCAAAAAAAAAAGAAAAACTTGTCAACAACAATCATAACATTATCTATTCCTGAGAAAAGTAGATAGCAATTGAGTCCTTGCAAAACATTTTATCTAATGGTGAAGAAAAAATAAAGATGAACCAATATATTGGATCCTTTGGGGAATGAACGATGCCTCAAAAATAAGAATCATGCCAGACCATGAGAGCTGAAGGAAGAGCAAGTCTGAAAAACTGCGGGATGTTATGAAAGGATTCTCTTGAAAAGCCCCGTCCAAGTCCTCTTGCATGAAGAAGAGTACTTGATATAAAGTGCTAGCAACAACAAATTAATCCAATTTGAAATGGAAAATGCGATGGCAGCTCCTTTGATTCCAAGGCCAGCTTTTAGAACCAACACCCAACAGAAAAGGATGTGTATTAAGCTTGTGATTCCAGTAGTGAGAACCAGAGGAAAGACTATGCTCTGGTTTTGAAGGAATTTAATGTTGCACTGAAGAAGACCAAAAGCAAAAAGGCTTGGAATCATGTGATGAGCAAATACTCCGGCTTCTTTTGAAATATTGTGGTCTTGATGCAATAAAACTAGAATAGGTCTCAAGTTAGCCAAAGTAATGGTCTGGACTATATCAACAAGTAAGATTACCAACATGCCTCTCTGCATATAAATGCCAAGCATGTGATATTGCTCTGCTCCATATGATTGACCACAAAATGTGTCTAAGGCACTCGCCATTCCCCTCTAAAAGCATTGAACAAAGCAGATTTTGAGTATGTGTAAAGGCTCTTAAAATTGATGAAAAACTGAAAGGTTGAGGAAAGCAAGAGACAATGAAATTCTATGGTTGGTATTCAGGATGTTTAGATCCCTTACCACAGTTTGATCATTAGAAAAAAGGCATTAAAGCGTAAAGCAATGGACTTTGATTACATGAAATGTTAAATTTTGAGAAAACAAAACTGAAGGATCGCAATATCATGAAATGACAGTCGAAACTTCCAAGAAATCACTCAAGCTCTTAAAAAGCATAATATCAAAGACTTAGTAATCAACTTAGATAAGTGGGATGTTAGATCTTGCGGGAAAAGGCAGATCCTAAGTCTCATAACTCAACTTCTGATAATTTGCATGTGTTTATCACAGAGGCAGAGAAGAAACACTACGAACGCATCAACACTGTAAAACCAGTGGCATTGAAAAACGAAGTAGCCATTGAAGCACTGGATAGAGGCAATTCTCCGAGATGACCCACCAAAATCAGCGAAATCACTTGTAAAATGTACATAAAAAAGCCCGCAGAAATCATTGGTCCTGCTAGCCATAGCCGCTTCTTTGCTTCGCTCGCAGTTTCCTTTCTCCACAACCCCATTTCTTGAGATGCAATCGAATTTAATGCTGCAAATCTAGACTAAAGGAGGGAGGGAAAAAAAAACAATTGAGACTTGAGAGACGCAACGTTTACTTAGCAATAAAATCCGAATTTAAAATCTTTTACAAACACACAGGAGTATAAAAGTAAAACCATCTTAAACAAATTATAATACAGTCGATGTTGGTGACTTTTCACACATATATTAATGCACTTTTTTATTTCAACAAGATCATTTTTTAATTTCAAAATCATGCTCAGTTCTACTTGCTGCATGGGCACATGGCATGCCAGCATCCGCACGAGGCCAATTTTCCAGAGGCACGAAGACTACTTAATGAGTTTGACTTGTTTTTCACCAGTGGCCAAACTAGAATTTTCGATGTCTTATTCATAGTGGAAATAATCGTGAAGGCTGTGAGTTGGATGGACTTTTCTGTCCATTGCGATACGTGATTTTTCTCTTGGTACTATGGGAGATTCAGGTCAATGCAAGATTCTGCAGGATCGGCCACCAGTCAACGGTCAGAATGACCAGAAAACCAAAAAAAAAAAAGGAAGGTTAAAGACACTCCTCAGGCTGTCATGGTCCGTGGATGACCAAATGAGAAAAAGAAAACCATTCTTAAGGTACCCATAGTTTTCTTTATTTCTTTTTTTTTTTTTTAATTTTTAAGACGTTCATGAGCAAAGCCCAAACCATATGGATTGGAATATAAGATGAGTTAACCATTTTTACATATTTTGGTATTTATTTTTCTCAACCCAACCTGCAATTTGAATTCATAACTTTGTAAGTTATAAACTGATTTCTTATCACCTAGATCAATTTTTGTTGACTCTCATTTTATTATGCTTATCCACATTTTCAAGACTTTGTATTTTCCTCTTTTTTTTGGCATTCTTTTCATGGATAAATCCTGTAATCAATAATCAAAATATTCCTCCGGTCCTACATAATAAGGGCCTTACATTTAGAACCGGAGGAGTATCTATTAAAACATTTATGAACTTTTTAAAAAAATATTATTTATAAATTATCAACAATACAGTTTATATCCCAATGATAGAGAAAAGTGGATTTTGCACCGAAAACACCGAAGAGTACGCGGGCCTGATTAACATATGGACCAACAAGGCCAGGTCTGGGCTCGGCGTTGCGACCCAACCCAACAGAGGAGGCCCAATATGGCCGGCTTTGAGTTTTCCTTCTCATTCGCTTGTCTTTCCTTCGCGTCCACTCTCTCTCCGTCCCCTTCACCCATTTCCAGGTTTCTCTCTCCGTAGTCCATTTCCAGAGGTCAAACAACAAACAATTGCTCCTAGTTTTTCCTTGCCGATTGGCGAATTGGCAGGAAAGCATTGAGCCAACTAATCAACACAGAAACACTCAGAAGAAAAAAGAAAAAAGAAATACAAGCAAATAGCATTCTGATTTAGACACATAGAAATAAAGGGAGGAGAAAATGGTGGAAGGGACCTCCAACGATGACTTATTGAGGACGCCGGAAGCCATTAGATCCTCCGAGGCAAGCGTCTTTATTCGCTTACTGAAAATTTTGTTCTATATTCGATTTCCTCCATATATGATATTTCCTGCTTGCATTATCCAGCTCTGATTCGCATGTTCTCGCAGTGTAATGCGCCTGTCATCCCTGTGTTTGCTTTTATTTAAGTGTTTATAGAATTTCTTCTGGGGAATGGGTATCCTTTGGTTGCCGTTATAAATTTTTCGAATTTAGTGTGTTTATGTGGGGTTTTTGGAATTTTTTGTATCCAAGTAATAAACTTGGGTTTTGAAATTAGTTCAGTGCCATGGTACAACCCAAAGCAATTGTATTCATTTTTACCTTTTTTTCTCAAGGAAACAGAAAGCTGATATTCACATGCTTTTCGGTAGGAATGCTACATTTTAACGGGTAGAATAGTACATGTAAAATTGCAGTTGGACATTTGTGCCTGTGCAGGTACGCGGTTAAAGCATGTTAAATTTACAGTGGAAACGAAGTCAAATGAAGATAGCTAGAAACTTCAGAATAAATAGAATTTTTTTTATTCTTAGAGATAAAGGATAAACGAAGTTTATATAACTTTCTGTGTTATATTATAAATAAAGTTACAATGGCTTCTTACATGACAAAATTCCTAGTAGCCACCACAGTGACATGGCTTTCTCTTTCATGTTTATCAGTGAACTTAAAAACTGGGACTTCACTATCTAGGTAAGGACAGTTCTGTTTTTAGTTACTCAACAAGGAGAATGGATTGTGAATAGAGCTAAATCTGCTGAGAAGTTGTCTCTTGAGATTTCATCATGATTGCTTTTAGACATTGAGTTTTTGCTTAGTGGTTTGTGCATTATTGTTGAGAAGGAAAAGAAGATTTTTCCCCCCACAATGCATGCTTTGTTTATGAACTTTCACTTCCTATTTCTTCAAAATAAAAAAGGGGGAAAATAATATAGTTTTGGATGCTTGTGTAGTTTGTTATGTGCCCACTATGATTCAGTCTTTTATAGTACATAGATAACTTCATGTATGTTATTGCTTGCTATTTTTTACAGTTTGAAAATTTTGTAGCTTCCTTGGTTGCTCATATAAAAGTCAAATTTAGGAGCAATATGTGACTGCGGTTACGGACAATTACGAGACAACTTGCTGGGGATGTGGACTGCGCCTACTACTTCCATCTTGTACATCTGTTTTCAAATGTGCCTGGTGTGGGGCCATAACAAATCAAAACAAACAAAAACATGAAAACAAGTGCTTTAAATGGAGACGACTTCGTGATCGATGTGTTGTTCCTATTGTCATCTTGTTTATGCTCTTTGTGATATGTAAGCCACTATTGATGCTGGTGCAGTTTTTCTTTTACTTTCTGTTATCTGTTGTCATGTTTGATCAGAATTCTTATTCATCCAATCATCCTTGGTTCCGCCCAAAATTCATCGCAACCCCCCAAAATATTTTTTTGTTCTTATTGCTCATACACATTTGTTCTTGAGAACTTGTCATTAAATTTTTGTCCAGTTGAATGATTTTTCCTTTCCTTTCAGAAGTTATATTGAGAAAATTAAGATGGGTGTTGGTTCCTTGTTAGAGATCAATTAATGCTGCAAGGATAATTATATTAAAGAGCAAATTGTTCTGACCAAATTGTTGATGGACCAATAGTAGTGGGTGAACAAATGCGCCACCTCGATAGGAAACTATTAACTTCCTGCAGTTCCTAGTCAGTCTACTGGATGGAAATTGTTATAAAAGATTATTTATTATGACTAGCCATGATTTAGTTCTGCTTCTTTTAATTTCATTAGGTTGAATGTGTCTAAAAGTACTTGTTGAAAAGGGGATGTTTTGAAGGTACAGGAGAAGATCAAATGCATTTGCAAAAGAAAAGTACTCTGCTAGATGTATCTTACCTAATTCATAATGGGTATGGGATATGTCTTACTTTAAGTATTAAAATAACTAGATAGTGGGCTTTATGCTCACGCAGAGTGTACTAGTGTGAGGTGAGTCGTTCATGACTTATGAATAATGAGCTTCCTGTAGATTTTACATTGTGTATTGGTATATGAATTATGATATCATAAGTATGTGGGTTAAATGGTCCAAATTGTGTCAACGAAGCATATCCGTAGTATTGCTAATTATATAAAGTGATATACTCTGTACCACAACACATCATGAATTAGGTAACTTTGATTAAGATTTGGCTCGGAGATTGGTGAGTACGCCATTATTCTCTTGTTTAAACCAATTCTGATGCCACCCTTGCATTTGACCACTTTGTTCTCGGTGGCTAAACTTATCTGTGTGTCTCCTGGTGGAATGTCTGACTATGGATGCTTAAGTATACTAGCTTATCGGCATTATTGTTGTATTAGATACATCTGTCAGGATGCAATAATAACTTAAAAGATAGGATGTTCCTTACTTATATTCATATGGCAATCTCATGGTCCACTCCACAATGTGTCTGATGTTCTTGAGTAATATGCTTTTCTGTTATCCACTCTAGATGGAGATAAGTATTTTATATTAACAAAATGAATACTTTCAACACTTGCTCTCAAAAATGAACTGTTGAGAGAACTATTCTGTACTTATTATAACGTTCTTTTGTTTTCTGATGCAGTTGGAGGAGTGTGGGCAGTTTATCCCTTTCTCCTTACATTCAGTCTTTCTGGGATTACTCACTGCATTATAACAGCAATCTTGTCCATATCCACGATTTCCTTTTTCAGCCTGGCGGCATTTAAGTGTGCAGGCACACCCCCAAATATATTGTGGGGAAGCTACCCTACTGTTGGGAAAGGGGACCTTGAAAACTACACTTTCTGTCACTACTGCTCAAAACCAAAGGCACCTGGAACTCATCATTGCCGTTCTTGTGAAAAGTGTATTCTGGACATGGATCATCACTGTCCCTTTGTAAGTTTTCATCATTTCTTGAATGTTGAAATTTCATAATCTGTGGCACATTCCCTGAAATCTTCTGGACAATGATATACACCATGTGTGGCATCTTTGACCATACAACTTTTGACCTATTAATATATTGTTTAGTTTAACCTGTCAAATAGATTATTAGAATTAAATGTTACTTCAGTTGGAATTTTGTTGTATACTGGAAGCCTTCTGTATAATCTTGAGTTATATCTGTTCTTCTATTTTTTTCCCCCCTCAGTTTGTTGGGCCTATCTTTCAATGATGAAAACATATGATACACCAACTGCCTTTGTAAGAAATGAATGAAATCTTATGTAAAGAACAAATGAATGATTACATAACATGTAGCAGTGACTTTGGCATCTTCGTGTTGTCACCTTTGGTAGGCATTTGCAGTGACAAAGGGGAAGTGTGCAAGCAATAGACTTGGGGTTCTATTATGAGTTTGGAGTTTTGAATACGGGAAGGATAACTGTTATTGGAGTATTTACCTGCTGAATTTAGGACTCAGCAGAACAAGGATTTTGTGAGTACTAAGGTGTGAATTAAGGGAGTCGAAGACATTCGAGAACTAGTGGTTTTGATAAGCAAGAATATGGTTTTGTCAGAGTCCTGATTTCAGAAAGCAAAGAGAATGATTTTGGGGTGTTTTATTGCTAGGTAAACGGTACTTATATTAGAGAAGAATAAGAAGAAAAGAATTGGTTCACAAGAATTCAACAGAAACCTCATTTAATCAGCTATCAAATTTCAGCTCCCAATCTTTCTGTTAATGATCTTCCAATAAAGGATTTTGCAAAGCTCTAAACTTCCATACACAACAGCCTCAAGTTCTCTAGACTTCCAAATACTATTTGCATGCTCTTTTCTGGAATGACATCTTTTCCATCATAACAAACTTGAATTTTTGTAAATTTTGAAATACTTAGGGGGTGTTTGGCAAAACCAAAACCTAGGTTTCAGAATCACTTTTTCGCAAAACGAGGTAATCTCCTCCACATATTTACTTCGTAATCCGTAAAAGCACTTCTGAAACCATGGTTTGGTTTCTATCCAAACATCCCCTTAAAGACAATCACGAGAATTGCTTTTTGTTTTATTTGCTAGAAATAGTGTTTCTTTATGTAGTGTATGTCAACAAAGGGTAATTTTTCGCTCATTTCAGTTAACAGACAGCTATTGTCCAGGCTGACATTTTGGGATAAAAATTAAAAGGGCTGATTCTAGTAATATAAAGAAGTAAGGAAAGGTGGGAATAGTTCTGCTTCTATCCACAATTGAAGGGGTGAGAACTATTCTTGATGGACTACTTCCAGATCGTGGTGGGATTTGTTGCCCGATTGTAGTGTGTGTAGGCGACCTTTTTAACTCAGTGAAGCATGCTCATGCGACAGTTTCTCACATGCCACTAATTAGTGTGTATACGTGTGTATTCAAAGAGAAAGCCAAATCAGCATTTTAATATGTTTAATGTACCCCACCCTTTAATTTGTATAATGAAATGTACTAAAATAGAGATATTAAATTGTATTATTCAAATGTACAATGAAGAACATTAGAAAAGAATTTTAATAATGTAATCTTGGTGGGGCTTCATGTCTATAACTATCTTTTTTCTTGATTGTTCTCCTGGATATGGAATCAGTCGTGTCCAAACTGTGCTCTCGCTGAAAGTATAATATTTTTTTCTGGCATGTCCATAAGCTTGTTGGATGCATTTGTTACCAACATGTCGTGTAAGTGTTGTTCTGCGTGTCCCACACAGCTGAAGATAGTTCTGTACTTGTATGAAAAATGGTGTTTGATTGCCATTGCCTGTCAACTCTGACGAAGTGGATGCTTTTGGTATTCATTCTATTATCAATAACACCATGGCTAGGCTGCAAATTTTCTTTATGAGGAGGAATCTGAAAGCTTTATTGGTAATTGGTTTTGTAACCTTTCGCAGATTGGGAACTGTGTTGGCGCAGCTAATCACCGTGACTTCATTGCCTTCCTTATTTCGGCTGTGGTCAGTACCCTATATGTTTCAATCATGTCTGCATATGCAAGCTTTCTCATATGGCCATCTGTGAAATACTCCTCCCTTGGGGGCCTCAAAGGGATTACTAGAAGAGATATGGTTTGGAGAGCCATGAATGAAATTATTTCTGCTCTCCTCAGATCTGTTCTGCTTCTACCCACAAGGGGACTTGTTCTTGTCTATCTGTTTTTTTCGAGCTTTTCCGTGCAAATAGGACTGAGTGTTCTTCTGTGGCAGCAACTTTCTTACGTATATGAGGGGAAAACTTATTTGAGCCACCTCAGTTCACAGGCAGATAAATCGGAAGGGAAGAAAGATTGTCAAAATTTTGTTAGATTCTTTGGTTTCCCCTATTATATAGCAAGATTTTTGCCAAACTTTCGTATGGGTAGGAAAAAGCACACAAAGTGAAACTGGCACAATTATGTAATTTTATAAAAGGCTGGTTGTCATTCTTGTGAGAGTGCATTTCACAGTATTCTATTTTTTGTTTATAAATCTATGTCAGATTGCCACTGTATGATTGAAATCATTGTCGGAAATATGTGCTCGCTTGTTGCCTCTCTTAAATTCCAAATTTAATTATGTAAATAATGATAGTATTACTCATAGCATATTATTTGTTTTTTATAGCATTTTTTGGCTAATGAATGAAATGATTCATTCATCTTACTCCCTCGTGTTGTATCTTGGTCTTTTTGTTATGAAATATAGATATAGTAATTATATATTGGTCAACGTGCCATTTTGACTTCACTCCGTGATGATTACATTTTGCCCGGGAAAATTCATATTGTTAATAGAAAATTAGAAATAAAGCTTATTTTCTCTACTGTTCTTATTATAAGACACTTTTTAGGAAGTAGTTTTAGTATTTTTCACAAAAGTCCTTTGATAGTTTCAATGAACATTAAATATTTTTTTCATATATGTCTACATTTAATAAGAGTAATGAGAATTAGTATAAATTAATACTTCCTCCGTTCTTTATTATAAGAGACGAATAACCGAATTATATTGATTAAAAAAGCAGTTAAAATTAGTTAATAACAATTAATATGTAAAAAATATAATTTCTTTTCCAAAAATGCCCTTATTAATAAGAAGAGAGAGTATGAGAGAGAACAATTAAATTATTGAAAGAAAGAGAAGGGGAATGGAGAGAGAGTGTGAGTTGGAGACAATAAATATGGATAAAATAGGAAATCAACACAAAAAAGTAGAGATAACTTTTAAGTGTCTCTTATATATAAGAACATGCCATAAGCATCAAATGTCTCTTATAATAAGGAACGAAAGGAGTATAATGTTAGAGTTTAATGTAGTTAATAAAGATAATGTTGCAAATTATTTGAATTTTATAATAAATTTAATATTTTTAACTGTTTTTATTGATAAGTGTGAATTAATTGCTAGTTTTTTTTTTTGGCTACATATGAAGATTCTTCAAACATATACTCCCATTGGTTCTTTTTATAAAATCTTTATAACTAAATTGTACAATTTAAAAAATAGTTAAAATTAGTTTAAAAGAGTAAATATGTAAAAATGAACCTTGTTTTTCCTATTTAATAGAGAAGCAAATAAGAGAGAAAAATATTGATGATGAGATACAGGATGAAAAAGAATGTAGTATGACAAAAGATGATGAGAGATGATAAAAAATTAATTAGGAATAAAATTTATAAAAACATATTTAATGTTCAGACACTGCTAATCTTATCAAACCAAATTTAAATTTTGCGATATGGTACGGAGGGAGTATCTATTTAGAAATGATTAAAAAATTAAGGCTTTTAAATACCTCCGTGTTTGATTGGCCAATACTAATAACAATCAAAACCTCCGTTATGGTGTTATGTTTTCAACGGGTGTAATGTCGCATTTATTAAGTTAACCATTAATGCAGAGTTGAAAAATATTTCTCCAAAAATTAATTTGATGTTGATTGTTAGGAAAAAAAATGACAATGTTTGCTAATTGACTTCATTGTAACACAGTTCCTAAAATTAACTTGATACAACTTTGTCCCCACTTATGCAATTGAATCACAATCATAGGAACTAAAAGATTAATTGTCTCTTTAAAAATTATTATGTATTGTTGCTCAAAAAAATTTTATAGTGCCCATAGTTCTGTTGGAAATACTTTCAAGATAAAAAACACGTTAACCATAATTCAATAATAAAATTATATTTTAAAATTGACTTTAAAAAACTATAATTAAAAAATAAAAAATATGATATCAAATTTTCAGTCCCAAGAAAAACATCAAATTAAACGAGCCTAGGTCTATCACTATTTTTTTTTTGGCTAAAACATAGGTATCCTCCTGTTGGAAGCAATCTTATTTAAGACACTGTCAGGCATTAAATGTGAACATCTCTTTTAACAAGGATTCGAATCTTGATTCACGGTGTTATGGAAGACTAGTCCCTTCCCCCTGTTGGTTATCAGTATTCATTATCAGTCATCAGGCCACGTAAACCAGTTTCGGCCCATCATTTTGTAAGGTGGATCCAAAAGATTTATAATAATAATAATTATAACAATAATAATACTGAAATTTTCAAAAAATGAAATAATAAATCTTAAGTTGAAATAACACACTACGCGTTCTAAAACAATAGTTAATGTCCTCACAAGGGCAGTAATAAACCTTATGTGTTTTCGTTTATGTATAGTGACTTGATATTTTAATATAAATTTGACTTAATATCCTTTTATTGTTTTGTTAGTGTAAACTCTACAGAGTTCAAAATGTCAAAATAATGTAAAATTAAGTATATTGATAATATTTTAAAAATGTAATAGCAGGATATATAAATTGCAAATATCTATAATTTTTTTGCCAATGAAATGAAAATCTACTCACTCCACTCTTAAATACAGGAATTTAATAACTAATTTACAAAGACCATGAAAATTAGTTAAGTTATTTATTTATAAAAAAATATGTGACCATTTTTGTAGAATACTGTTTTTAATTATTTGTATTTGAAATTACCCGAATAAAAAGACCCTAATATGTATAACAGAATGTAAGAAAAAAAATTATAAATTCAAAAGATAAAATAACTGAAATGTTCCATTTAACACTAAAATAAACCCATTTGTTAGGAGACTGAAGGGAGTATTATATTGACCTGGATTTGATATTATGTACTACATCCGGTCCTTATTATAAGATCCCTTTGACTTTTATTGGTCCTAATTATAAAACCCCAATCCATTTTGGTCTCTTATATTTATGCATTTTTTT